CCCCAAAACCCCAAAACCCCAAAACCCCAAAACCCCAAAACCCCTTAAGATATGTAGATTATTGAAACCTTTCAATGGCTGCTAGATATTAAACCTTCCAGGATCATAATCTGTAGCTGTTAATCTTTCATGTAAATCTTCACCTGATATAACAGAGTATAACAAAGAAGCTGAGCTAACTGATTGAGTAACACCCCTTGCGCCATGGCCGGTATTCCAGAAAAGATTGTTGAATCTGCATGATTTTCCTATAAGTGGGACATCATCAGCAGTGACAGGTCTGAGTCCAACCCAGTGACCAGCTTTTGATTCATCATAATCTTTTTCACTAACGTATTTCTTGGCAAGCTGAATAAGCATATCTTTTCTCCAAGGAATAGGTTCGAGATTGTTTCCATCAAGATCAACATACCCTGAAATTCTTACTAACCCATTTGTATTGTATCCAACCCTGGAAATGCAAATTTTCTCAGGCATGTGGATATAAGATTCTTCAATAACATCCCGATCTTTTACATACATATCAAAACTATGGCCTTTGAATCCCATTATGGGTACTTTAAGGCCCAGCATTTTACCAATCTCAATAGATCCAATTCCTGCACACACGATGCACTTGTCGAAATCATCTATTTTCTTCACCCTTGCCATCCTGTCAGCATACTCTACCGCCTTGACATGAGCCTCCGTGCAAGTTATGGCTTTGATTTCTCCTTGGATGAAGGTGACTCCGTATTTATCAGAGAGTCTGAGCTTCATGTAGTCCACAAATCTTGCTGAATTTATTCATTTCATAGGTACTCTGTAAGCAAAATCTGCATCTATATTTTTACCAAATTTTATCATAAAAGTAATGACTTACCAAACTTTCCAGGAGGAATAATCTGAGTTCCTTTCTCGTATTCCTGAAGAAATTCAACATGCTTCTCCATTTCTTTGATTTCGTGGTCGCTGCAGCCTGTAAATGTAAATGTCATATTTTCATTATGGTAGTCAACGATGTCAAGGTTATTCGCTGTGCAATCTTTAATGAAGCCATCGAACAAGTCAGCACTAGTGGAGCCAAGCTTAATTAGAGCTTGATGAGATTTTCGAATGCATTCTTTATTTCTAGATTTCAAGTAGTTCCAAAACCAGAATCTGAATTGTTTATCAAAGATCAATGAAAATCTAAAATAGTGGGATGGGTTTGGGTGAAATGTTAATTTCTCTTTGATGACCTCCCAAAGTGGCAAAGCTGTTGATGGCTCACAAAGTCCAAATGTAATAGCATTTCCATTTTTCTCGGTTGCACCTTTGATTGGGTTATCTTTCTCAATCACTGTGACATCATATCTTCCGTCTTTTGCGAGGAAATATGCTGAATTGATTCCCATTATTCCAGATCCGATGATTAGAACTTTCTCTCTTGGAGTATCATCTTTAGTCTCTTCTTTGGGAATTTCAAATTGAGCTGATTCTTGATTAATAACTGATCCTTTTCAGGATAAATTCATTTATTGGATATTAATTCAATATCTTCCATTTTATTTGGGGTTTTGGGGTTTTGGGGTTTTGGGG